GTATCAGGGTAATGCTGGCCTGGTAAAATGACTTTGGAAGTAATTTCTCCTCTTCAGTGTTTTGGAAGAGTTTGAGAAGGATTGCCATTAAATCTTTGAATGTTTGGTAGAATTCACCACTGAAACTAACTGGTACTGGACTTTGGTTTCTTGGGAGGTTTTTGATCACTGACTCAATCTTCTTACTAGTAATCAGTCTATTCAGATTTTCTTCATGATTCAGTCTGGGAAGATCATAAGTTTCTAGGAATTTATCCATTTTTTTCTATGTTGTCCAATTTTGTTGGTACAGAATTGTTCTAGTAGCCCCTTTTATCCTCTGTATTTGTGTGCTGTTGGCTGTAACTTCTCCTCTTTCATTTCTGATTTTATTTGAGGCCTTTCTCCTTTTTACTGGTGAATCCAGCTAAAAGTTTGTCAATTTTGTTTATTTTTTCAAAAAACTAGCTCTTAGTTTCATTGATCTTTCTATTATCATTTGAGTCTCTATTTCATTTATTTCCTTCCTGATCTTTATTATATCCTTCTTTCTGCTAACTTTGGGTTTTGCTGGTTCTTCTTCTAGTTCCTTTAGGTGTAAATTGTTTATTTGAGATTTCTCTGGTGTCTTGAGGTAGGCTTGTATTGTTATGAACTTTTCCCTTAGAACCATTGTTGCTGTATCCTGTAGATTTCACTGTCACATTTCTTTTTCTCATTTGTGTCTACGTATTTTTTTTTTTACTTCTCCTTTGATTTTTTTCTATGACCCAGCACTTGTTCAGTAACATGTTATTTAATCTCCACGTATTTGTTTTCCCAGTTTTTCTTCTTGTAACTGATTTCTAGTTTTATACCATTGTGGTCAGAAAAGATACTTGATAGGATGTCAGTCTTCTTGTGTTTATTACGACTTGCTTTGTGGCTTAACACGTGATGTGTCCTGGACACAGAGTTCCACGTGTACTTGAGAAGAATGTATATTCTGCTGGTTTGGGGTGGAGTACTGTGTATGCGTCTGTTAAGGCCATCTGGTATAATGTGTCATTTGAGGTTGATGTTTCCTGATTGATTTTCTGTGTAATGATCTGTCCACTGATGTAAGCAGGTGTTAAAGTCCCTTGGTATCACTATATTGCTATAAATCTCTTCTTGTAGGTCTGCTAATATTTGCTTTAACTACTTAGGGGCTCCTATGTTGGGTACATATGTATTTATAAATGCTGTACCTTCTTGGTGGATTGACACCTGTATCATCATATAGTGTCGTTCATTGTCCTTTATTATAACCTTCGTTTTAAAGCCTCACGTCTATTTTTCAACGATGGAGCGACATTGTGTTTCAAGACTATGATTTCAGGTGCTTTGTCCCCTGCCCCCAGCACAGCTACAGGGAACGCGTGCTCCAGGACCTTCCGCTCTCAGTGCGGCAAGTGTCCTGACCTTGGACACATGACCTGGGCCTTCAGCGAAGCTGCTGGAGCTTCTCCTTCCGAAATGTGAGCCCCTCATGAGGCCAGGCATCCATCCTGGGGTCACGGACACCTTGGGGTGGCCATCGGAGCTGGAGAAGCCTGACCTCACCAGGTGCCCTCCAGCCGAGTGAGTCCAAGAGGCACCATGTGGCAGAAGAGCCAGGACCCAGGGGTGGAGGGTCTGGACAGGTCAGGTTGTCCTTCAAGGTGTCAGACCTGGTCTGTGACAGGAGACACTACCCTGGTGGGCTCTCCACTGTGACGGGGAGACGGCGGGTCCTGGGGACAACAGCGAGTGGCCTCCATCTGGCCTCACGTGCCCTGCAGCTAGGATTCCCACAGGATGAACAACGACATAGGAGTCCCTTCCTATGTGTTTTTTCAAAATTTTTTCACTCTTTACAAAACGGCTATAAAAACATCCCGTTGTTTCCCTGTTGGACGTAAAGCAATCAGAATTTAATTGGATAAAGTGCCCTGGTGATTAGGAACATGAGCTCTGAGGTGACAGAGACCCATGTCTGAGTCCCAGCTCGCCCACTTACTGGTGGTGTGAACTGGTGAGTTTCTGGAACTTTACAAGCCTGGGTCTGCCCATCGGTGAAGTGGGTTAAAACAGCACCTGTCTCACTAGGAAGACTGAGTTACTGTGTCCAACACTGTGACACATAGTAAGCTCTCAAAATTAATGCAAATTGCTATGGTTCAGGGTTTCTGTCATCTGGGATTCGTCTTATCTGCAAACACCAGAGCAGCGAGAACAGTCACAACGTACGAGCAGAAAAGCTCGGTACTCTGTTCGCACAGCCATGTCCAGACCGGCCTACGTATCTAAATTCTGAGCACAGTGATAACGGCGGCCGCTTGGAGGACCACTCACCGACTCCGAACTCGTTACCACGTGGAGCCTCGCAGTCTCGGGAGGAACATAACCATCTGCCCCATTTGGCAGGTGCGGAAATGGGGACGGACGAGCCAAGTGACCCTCCCTGGGGCAAAGCGATGAAGGGGGAGACCCAGGACGGGAGCCCGCCCGGCGGGTCTGATGGCGGTCCACTCCCTTGCTCAGTGTGCCATCTGCCTCTTGGCCCTCTGTGTGACCCCTTCTCCTGGCCCTTGGCAGGTTTGGAAAAGCTGGGGCTGGGGGAGCTGCAGGACAGGCACACGGACAGCCAATGGGCTGGGGGTCACGGTGAGCCCGGAAAGCACCACGGCACAGCCGTCCAGACCCGGGCACTCGGGGGCCAGATCGCCCCACATTTAGAAGCCCCTGAGAGCTTCCTGCTTCCCCAGCACCGTGCACAGATTTCCACTGGGCCATCAAGAAAAATCAGATCGTGAGCTCGGAAAGATGGACACCGAGGGGGAAACAGTGGCACGTGCAAGGGACAGAGCCCTTCAGGACGGTTCACCGACCACGCACGCCCAGTGACTATGTTGTACAAATAGGGCCCTGCCCCCCACAAACATGGCACACGATCCCGGCGGAGCTGAAGAAACACCGACGCCGGGGCCCCGCTGGATAACCTGTCGTAAAGTCGCACTTGTTACTTTGACCCATCGTTTAATTCAGCCCCGTTTCTATCAAGTCTTGAGACAAAAAGCCTTCAGGCTGCACTGTGGCTCCGGGTCCAGGACCGTGGCTCTGGGGTCTCCAGGTGGTTAGCAGTGCAAGGTCCCGCACCTGGGTCTGGCAGGTGTTTTACGGCACCGTGCGGGGGAATAAAGGTGATCTAAACGCACACGACAGAACTCCAGGAAGGACTCGGCATTTGCGACGCATGCGGCCCCCTGGGCCACGGCCCTCGCTGGCGGGGGCCGCGGCCCACCTCCCCGTTCAGACCTCCAAGTTTGCCGTACCTGTTCACACCGTGTTTTCCAGGCTCCACAAAAACAAGCGTTCAAAGTTTCAAAACGGAGCTGATCAGAACGCGACCGACTTGAAGAGCTGTGAAAACCGGCATTTTGAACTGACGGGATCCCGCCAACGACTCCCTCCACCGAGTCTCTGTTTCTGGTTGTCTGCGCAGGGAGACGCTTCCGGACCTCAGAGTCCCCTCTCCTGGACCCAGGCTCACCTCAGCCTGCGGTCCAGATGGGGGGGAGGGACACAGGACGCCCCACCCTGAGGTTAGGGTCGCCGGTTTAACGAGTGAGAACACTGCACACTGGGTTATATCAACTTCAAATTTAACAAAGTAATTTTCCACCATGAGTTAAGTCCCATGCCAACGTTCAGGGCACGTTCACAGTAAGAAATAGTTTGCTGCTGGGGCGCCTGGGGGGCTCAGTCGGTTGAGCGTCTGACTTCAGCTCAGTCAGGATCTCACGGTGCGTGGGTTCGAGCCCCGGGTTGGGCTCTGTACTGACAGCTCAGAGCCTGAAGGCTGCTTTGGATTCTTGTCTCCCTCTCTCTCTGCTGCTCCCCTGCTCTGCTCTGTCTCTCTCTCTCTTTCTCAAAAATAAATACACATTAAAAACATTTTGTTAAGAAATCATTTGCTGTTTATCTAAAACTCAGATTTAACTGTGCACCCACATCTCTTCTGACATGTCCCCTGGAGGTTGACCCCAGGGGATTTGGGATGGGTGGGCAGCGGGGGCTGGGCTCTGAGGACACCCCTGCCGCTGGTGGTCCGGCAGCCCCTCTCCCCGCCTCCCTGCCGACGCTCCACCCCCCCCCCCCCCACTCCAAGTCCAAATCCCCGGAGGAGGCGCTTCCCGAAACCCCCAGCCTCTTCCCTTGACGCACTCACACCCTGGAGAGAATGCCATGTTGTCGTGTCTTGCTTCCCACGAGAGGCCACACGATCTGTGGACAGGCTCCTGGTGGAGCTCTCGTTTTGTTCTCCCCACCGGGCTCAGACGCCCAGAAGAAAACTGCTGTTTGTCTGGTCATAATTTTAAGACCCGCATTAAAGCCAGGGCCGAGCCAGCACGCCCACCTTTCCTGGCGGAGGTCTGTACGGCTCTACCCCCCAGACACGGGCCTGATCCTGTCGCTGGGCGCCCCGTCCCCTCACTGACCAGTTCCCCTTCGTGAACCACACTCTAGAATCATCACAGACACTTAGGGAGGCCACGGAGGAAGGAGCTCTTGGTTTCAGGCTTCCAAGTGTGTGTGCTCCCAGCAAAGCGTTTACAGCTAAGCCGTAAAATGCTCTATAGAAATAGGAAGAAACATCGACACGACGATAAAATGAGGGGTGAGATTAACGATGCCGTAATACAATCTGTTTTCATTTAGTGCAGAGAAAATTAATTTTTGAAGACATTTCATTGAACTCTGCAATATCTTGCAGTTTAACCTTTGACGCTTCCAACTTTTCTCTTTTATTCCCTTTAAGCCTAGGACAGGCAGGGGAGGGGAGCCGGTTTTACGATGGTTCTAAGTCCTGCTTCTCGGCCGATGGCCAGGCTCGCTGCCTCAGCTCGGGCCCCGTGTGCTCAGGAAACAGAGTACTGTGACCGTAACGCTCAGCTCTCCTAGCGACACGTCCGCTTCCATAACCCAAGATCCAGCCGCGAAACAGGGAGACATGTTACCTTCCAGAGCGAGGCACCGGGGCGGGCTGGACGACCAGATGAGGTTGTGCAAGCATTCGAGATACTCCGACCCCTCCAGCTTAAAGCCAGGAAAGCAGTGATAGGAGATGACGGTCCCCACGGGGAAGGAGGTCTGGAACTCGGAAACGTTCACGTAGCCGTTAGAGGAGGAGAGAGGTCTCAGGCAGCCTGTGAGGGGACAGAAGGGGACAGTCTGGCTTGATCGCCTCTGTGCACCTTCAGATCCGCCCCCGCCCCGGTGGATTCACTCGCTGGAAGCGTGACCTGGCCTCTGGGGACTGAGCGCCTTGGCCAGACCCCTTCATCTGCTCGACTATCCCATTCGTGACTCGGATGTTAGGTTTTACAGCTGCACACGGCGGCGGGGGGGG